GATGAAAGAAAACGTTTTTCTCCCTGAGTCTGGCCTTCATAATTCCATTCCATCACAGTATCAGATGGACACACAACAAGCATACATTTCCCATGTTAGCACATGGAAAATAGGTCAGTTGTCCAAAGGAAAATGATCCTGGACTATTCTGTCCTGTACCTACAATTACTGTTGATGGTCAGAGGATAATTACATAGCAGAATGCAATCTAATAAAGGCATACATAGTGTTATAAATTTGCTGACAGGACTGACTCCTTAGTCTGAACAATTTCAGATTTAAGGCACAGACTTGACTATTGATGGCTGACATCTGCGTATATGCTTGGCAAGGCTGAGTTTATGTTGTATTAATTATCTAGCAAGCATTATGTTCTGATGGGATTTGTTCAGCTCAGTAGGCCAATTCTTTCACTATCATAGTTACAAACCTCTCTTTGTTACGACCCAGATAGATTGCACAGCATCCTTCCCTATTTCAATTATCTTTAAGGGGGGGAAAGCTTCCATTGGCATCAATGGCTGCTTCTTTTTCAAGGCTGTGAATTGAAAAATATGTGGCTGTGGTCAGGGGTGGGGGGACTTCAGTTAGGATCTCTGCTGATAACACAAGGGATAAATCTTCCATCCCACTTGCTGCTGAAAATTGTCCCACCCTGGTATTAATATTTAAAAAACTGAGCAATCATTACTAGTAGTAGTTTTATTTATAATGCTACTACTATGGGTTATCTCAGACATTTGGACTGGAAGATTAAGCAAGCTCTGCTGGTTGATTGGTTTTATTCCTGGTTTTCAGTGTTGTAAATTGTGAATGATTCTTTTCAACCTCAAAAATTTGTTATGTGGATTATTGGTTGATTTTTACTGTTTTGGTTTTAAGTCTTTGTATGCTGCCAGAGTCATTGCTATGAGATGAGCAGCCATATAAATTGTTTAAATAAATAAGTGTACATGCATACAGACATACATACTACTACAACTACTACCTACTAGAGTTATGGATCAATGCAATGGGGAATTAAGAACAGATTTTCCTTCATTTGCAGCAAAGCAAATGAGTTTCACCTACTGCCTTCTAAATCCAACCATCACCACCACTGTGAAGCTCCGACCTGCCTGGTCTGCTTCTCCAGACTTCTGGTATACCATAACAGATGTTGCCATAGCTTCTGTGCCTCACACCTAAAAGTGTTTGTGATTTGTGGAAAATGCCAAGGTGATGAGAGGAGGAAGGAGAATTGGATTCATTGACTGACAAATCTGCCCTAATGTCAGAGACGTTTGTGAGTCTCAGAAACCATTAGTCTTCCCAGTCATATCTTTTTTCCCTGGTTTTAATTTGTTTTATGCTAAACAAATTAACAGAAGGAAAATAAGTACATACAACTGTATTAACAAAATAATATCAATTCAGAACTTAAAAAAGGGGGGGGGGGAGGTCTGTTGCCCTGTTGAAATAGAACTAATTAAAATGTTGACAAACACACATATCAATTGTCTGTTGCTGCAGAGTAAATATATAGTTTTTTTCTTCCAGTGATTTCTTCTTTTAGTCAGCCCTCATCCCTCCAAACCCGTGACGTGTGGGGTTTTAACAGATTCCAAATGCTGGGGATATAGCCAAGAGCAACATATACATCTTAACACAGAGTGGTTGATTCAGAATCATATTAATCTTGTTGATGTGACCTCAACATATTACAATAATGGGAAAAGACCAGTCCATATGAGAATGTTCCAACACCTAACTGCATCTCCAGCAAATCTTATTAAATATTCTTTGTGTAACATGCATACATGAAGTAAAATTTAAGTTTCAGTGCCTGACAGTCAGATCTATCACATTCAGGAAGTCTCATCATTTCTTAAAACACCCTCTTTCTTTTGCACACACAAAAAAAATCTTCAAAATTCTGAAATTTACTACATATATTTCTCAATATATCTCTCTATTTACTGCCAATTCTGGTATGTTCTATCCCAAAACAAAACAATAATAGACTTAAAAAAAAAATAAAGTAACATAATTTGGAAATCTTTGCTCCCTATTTCTATGAAATTAGGCATGCCATGTCTCATAATCGTTTAACACTGCTGTCAGTTTTATCCCATTCCAATGAAAAGCATGCATAATGAATTGAGGATTTCTCCCTCCTCCCCATCCCTCCCCCCCCCCGCCCCCCCGTTATGCTAGACAATGGGAAGGAAGAGTTCCATTTTTCAGAATTCCACTCTGGGGAGCAAGTTTGAACTACCTTCCTCCAGAGTAACCTGGAGTGGGGCATTTGTAGAGTTATTTCACCTTTGATGAATTGGATGGTATTTACATACCCCTAATGGCCACACTATTTGTATGGGCTTTTAGTTTGATCCTAACTTGATAAAAATTGTTTTGGGGCCATAGTATTTTCACATGTTTCATGAGCTAAAGAAAATATTCTCATGGTTAAGGCTGGATAACTATTTTGGAGAAGAGACTGAGTTGCAAGGCTGCAGAGAATCAGAACTATTTTTCTCAACTATGTATTCAGAACAAAGGTTATTATGACCAATATGGTCCCTGTGCCTCACTGAACTCTTTCAGTAAGAAAGGCAAGGAAGAAAGAAGTTAGACCTGCACCCAGCCTATGAATAAGACAGACATCACAGAATTGGAAGTAAATTGGTAGCTAGCTTGGGAGATAGACTAATAAGGACAGCAAAAGTATCAAAAGCTTTTGATCACAGCAGGTGTAAGGGTCAAAGCAGACCTTCTGTAAATATGTAGCTGTATATCTTTTTTGCCTTAGTTTCTTATAGTCACATGACAGAAGGGAGAAGGGTGATTCTTATCCAAAATACTGTTCATGAAAAAGGAAGACATACAGCTTTACATCCGGTGAGATTGGAGTCAAAATTGTGCTGTGAAACTAGAATGCAAAGAAGTAGAATTCCCGCTGGGGCCAAAGGGACTTTTCTTTGTGTTCTCCCCTCTAGCAGAGAAGAGATTTAGACTCAAGTCATACTTAGGAGTAATCAGAAGCCTCCTCTCCCTGCCAACAATATTTCTTGTAAGCTTAATCTTCTGCAAGCCTGTAATTAAATAAAGCAATGCTAGATATTTAACTGTGTCTTGTGAGTTTCTAGAACATCTGAGATGCTCAAGGTGTTTTACTGTATTCTTGATTAGATACTTAATGGCAGGAAAGCAATAATGTAGTGGGAACAATAATCTTTGGTTCTGATTTCCAGCAATTAAATTCCAAAAATAATATATCATTATCTTCACAACTTGGTGTTCTGTATACATTTGGATATGTTCATTGGAACACATTCTAAGTTAGAGATCGTACCATTTTTGTAAGCCTCTTGAGGCACTTCAATGGCCACTGTCAGAAATAGAACACCAAACTGCTAAAATCCATAATTCCTGGGATTAAAATATAATCTCAACATTCATAAAGCTTTTTTTTTTCAATATGAAGGTTTAAAAAAAAAAATCCAGGAGTGTTCCAAGCAGTAAGAAGTGGGGAGGAGAGAGGATAACTCTTTTCTCTCCCAGAACTGATTGAGCAACAGTAAGAATCACTTATGAAAATTCAATCAGTAAATGTAGTATTCTTAAGTAAAACTAACTTCACCCAAGTTATTTTATACAGTCTTATTTTCAGCTCTAAAGAAACTGTTTTCTTATTCTTTGCCAATTCCAATTATTCTGTGGGAAAAAAATTTTTAAAAAAAGTTTGATATATGCTTCTGTTATTGACTGTAGTGACAAATATATCAGATTGGTTGGAAATACATAAACAAATATGACACTGGGGAAAGCCAGTGTAGAATTAGAACAATGCATTTTTCACTTTCTACTTCGATTTTTAAGCTCAAGTGTCCCTCATATTGAGTTCAGTTCCGGATACCTATATATAGTTATCTGAGCAGCAAAATGCAAGTGCATTTCCATTGCCTTCCTCCAAGATGCCTTTTCAGCATCCCTCTCTAGCCTGCCTGCTATTCCCCAATGGTCTCCCATTTAAGAATTGACCAGGTCTGACTCTGCTTA